GTTCAGGCTGCCTCCGACAATCAGCAGACGGCGTTACATCTAGCGCTGACAGGGGGCGAAGTTGGATTCGTCGGCCGACGGTCGTCGTACAACCCGGCGAGGTCCCGGCATCCAAAAAAGATTGATTGACAAATATGTGCTGAGGCCCACCATACATCATGTGAAAAGCATAAGCCGTAAACGTCACAATACCTTGTTACAGGTCGGGTATTCATTGTGGGAACGGAAGTGAAGTAAAAAAAAAGTAGACAAAATAGTCTAGAAGATTTAGTTTGATAATAATTTTAATGCTCGATGGAAGCAATATTACACAGAATGAAAAATTGAAAAATCTGCCAGAGTACAAGATGGTTATAGGCAAGTGAACCACATAGCGTATCAATTTCAAAATTATTCTTCTTGTGTACAAATCGCTCCATAACCTCTGTCTCTTATACAATCTAGATGTGTATAAGAGACAGACCATGAGCAGTGAACACGTTGACGGTCGCCTGCAGTCGACGTGAACGTGCTCGTCGTTCACTCAATCGAAAAGTCGCTAATGCGGTACGGTAGACGTGAGCAATGCGCGAACAGTGCTTAACCTATGCGTAAACAAGTAGTGCCATATTGCGTGTCAATACGTGTCAATTATGTACATTTTTGACGCGCATTGACTACACAGTAGTGCGTAACTTATACGTAAACAGTGCGCGAACAGGCCGCAAACACGGGTTCACGCTCTGGCAGCGTACCATCGAAATGGCACGTCTTGCCACGACGCATTGCGCGGCATGCGGGAACAAAAAATCGTGCAAGTGTCAGGGTGGCTTATCGCTTCAGGATTGGCAGGATCAATTTATGATATGGAACGCCTCAGACTACGGTGGGATAGATAAAATTAAAGTTCCCCAAGATTCAATTTGGATGCCAGACATGACACTCTACAACAAGTAAGCCCACCATTAGCATATTTTTTTATATTTTTAAATACATGTCAAAATATATCGTGTGAAAAAAGGTTTCTGCCGTTATAATCTAGTCAGCATACGAATAAAAAGAAGTCAACCGGGAACAAATTGCAATAGTAATGAAAATAATTTTTTTTAAATCAGGATTTGTTGAGGAATACTCGAAAATCTAGAAAAATCTATTTAGTGGAAGGGGTTAAATTTGACCAAAAAATGGCAAATTTTACACATTTTTACCCACAAATGGTATTTTTGTAGCTAGTCCATCACAGGAAGATTAAATATAAATTTATTTGGTGTCATACGAAAGCTATTAAAATTATCTATCAAATGATGTATATGATGACACACCAAAAACTACTAAAAAAATGATTTTTTATGAGCTTTTTTGTTAAATTTATTAATACATATTTTTCTTAAATAAATACAAAATATACTCAGCTGACAACCTTTTTGTCTGATACTTTGAAAATAGAACACCAATAAAAATTTCAGACATTATCCAGTTTTTAATTTGGAGTTATAGAATGTCAAAGGTTGAGGCAAAAAAAAGGCCAATTTTACACTTTTTACACCAAAATGGAATTTTAAAGCTAGTTTATTTACAAAAAAATTCAATTTAAATAATTTTATACATGGTATCATGAGAAAGATACCTATCAAATAATGTGCCTGAAAACACATTATATTAATGTTGTGACCCAAGAAGTACCAAAAAACTTATTTGTTTATGACTTTTTAGCTAAATTAAATCAGATATGTTGTATTTATGAACATACTAAGCTCAGTAATAACCTTTTCGTCTAATACGCTCAAACACTTTTGAATTCCTAATACCAGGCCTTGGCCTAAACGGAATGGGCTGTTGCTGCGCTGAATCTGGAATTTTAATGTCAAATTTGACCAAAAATGGCAATTTACAAGTTATTACCTAAAAGACATTTTGAACCTAGACTGTCACTGTAAGATTCAATTTTAAATAATTTGGCATCATACGAAGAATTATCTATAAAATGATGTCACATTATGATGACACATTATGTTAAGTTTGTAACCCAAAAATTACCAAAAAACGTGATTATTTGTTTGGCTAAATTTAATAATACATAATGTTTTATTAAACAATACGAAAATATTACAAATATATATATATATATATA